GATGATGTGTATGAAAAGGGTTATGGAAGAGAAAAGAAAAGATGAAGACGATGATGATGATGATGATGTGTATGAAAAGGGTTATGGAAGAGAAAAGAAAAGAGGAAGACGATGATGATGATGAAAGAAAAGATGAGGATGATGATGATGATGATGATGTGTATGAAAAAGGGTTATGAAGAAAAAAGAAAAAGATGAAGACGATGATGATGATGTGTATGAAAAAGGGTTATGGAAGAGAAAAGAAAAGATGAAGACGATGATGATGATGATGATGTAAAGAAAAGGGTTATGGAAGAGAAAAGAAAAGAGGAAGACGATGATGATGATGATGTGTATGAAAAGGGTTATGGAAGAGAAAAGAAAAGATGAAGACGATGATGATGATGATGATGTGTATGAAAAGGGTTATGGAAGAGAAAAGAAAAGATGAAGACGATGATGATGATGATGATGTGTATGAAAAGGGTTTGGAAGAGAAAAGAAAAGGAAGACGATGATGATGATGATGATGATGTGTATGAAAAAGAAGAAAAGAAAAGAGGAAGACGATGATGATGATGATGATGATGAAAAGGTTATGAAGAGAAAAGAAAAGGAAGACGATGAAAATGGAAAAGAAAAACGATGATGATGATGATGTGTATGAAAAGGGTTATGGAAGAGAAAAGAAAAGATGAAGACGATGATGATGATGATGATGTGTATGAAAAGGGTTATGGAAGAGAAAAGAAAAGATGAAGACGATGATGATGATGATGATGTGTATGAAAAGGTTTATGGAAGAGAAAAGAAAAGAGGAAGACGATGATGATGATGATGTGTATGAAAAGGATTATGGAAGAGAAAAGAAAAGAGGAAGACGATGATGATGATGATGATGTGTATGAAAAGGGTTATGGAAGAGAAAAGAAAAGATGAAGACGATGATGATGATGATGATGTGTATGAAAAGGGTTATGGAAGAGAAAAAAAAAGAGGAAGACGATGATGATGATGATGATGTATGAAAAGGGTTATGGAAGAGAAAAGAAAAGATGAAGACGATGATGATGATGATGATGTGTAAGGAAAAGGGTTATGAAGAGAAAAGAAAAGATGAAGAATGATGATGATGATGATGTGTATGAAAAGGGTTATGGAGAAAAAAGAAAAGATGAAGACGATGATGATGATGATGATGTGTATGAAAAGGGTTATGGAAGAGAAAAGAAAAGAGGAAGACGATGATGATGATGATGATGTGTATGAAAAGGGTTATGGAAGAAAAAAGAAAAGATGAAGACGATGATGATGATGATGATGTTATGAAAAGGGATGATGATGTGGAAAAAAAAAAAGAAAAGAAAAGACGGATGATGATGATGATGATGATGTGAAGAAAAAGGATGATGATGATGATGATGATGTGACATGAAAAGGGTTATGGAAAGAAAAGAAAAGATGAAACGATGATGATGATGTGATGAAAAGGGTTATGGAAAGAAAAGAAAAGATGAAAACGATGATGATGATGATGATGTATGAAAAGGGTTATGGAAGAGAAAAGAAAAGATGAAGACGATGATGATGATGATGATGAAAAGGAAAAGGGTTATGGAAGAGAAAAGAAAAGAGGAAGACGATGATGATGATGATGATGATGTGTATGAAAAGGGTTATGGAAGAGAAAAGAAAAGATGAAAGATGATGATGATGATGATGATGATGATGATGATGATGGTGTGTGTATGAAAAGGTTATGGAAGAGAAAAAAAAGATGAAGACGAGATGATGATGATGTGAAGGAAAAGAAAGAAAAGAAAAGATGAAGATGATGATGATGATGATGATGTGTATGAAAAGGGTTATGGAAGAGAAAAAGAAAAGAGGAAGACGATGATGATGATGATGATGTGTATGAAAAGGGTTATGGAAGAGAAAAAGAAAAGATGAAGACGATGATGATGATGATGATGTGTATGAAAAGGGTTATGGAAGAGAAAAGAAAAGATGAAGACGATGATGATGATGATGATGAAAGGAAAAGGGTTATGGAAGAGAAAAGAAAAGAGGAAGACGATGATGATGATGATGAATGAAAAGGGTTATGGAAGAAAAAAGAAAAGGGAAGACGATGATGATGATGATGTATGAAAAGGGTTAAGGAAGAGAAAAGAAAAGTGGAAGACGATGATGATGATGATGTGTATGAAAAGGGTTATGGAAGAGAAAAGAAAAGATGAAGACGATGATGATGATGATGTGTATGAAAAGGGTTATGGAAGAGAAAAGAAAAGATGAAGACGATGATGATGATGATGAAATTAAAAGGTTTATGGAAGAGAAAAGAAAAGATGAAGACGATGATGATGATGATGTGTATGAAAACGATTAGAAGAGAAAAGAAAATGAAAATGAAGAAGAAATGATGATGATGATGATGTATGAAAAGGGTTATGGAAGAAAAGAAAAGAGGAAGACGATGATGATGATGATGATGTAATGAAAGGGTTAAAGAGAAAAGAAAAGGGAAGACGATGATGATGAAGTATGAAAAGGGTTATGGAAGAGAAAAGAAAAGTGGAAGAAGATGATGATGATGATGACGAAATGAAAAGGGTTATGGAAGAGAAAAGAAAAGATGAAGATGATGATGATGATGATGTGTAAGAGAAAAGGGTTATGGAAGAGATAAAAAGAAAAGAGAAGACGATGATGATGATGATGTGTAAGAAAAGGGTTATGGAAGAGAAAAGAAAAGATGAAGACGATGATGATGATGATGATGTATGAAAAGGGTTATGGAAGAGAAAAGAAAAGATGAAGACGATGATGATGATGATGTGTATGAAAAGGGTTATGGAAGAGAAAAGAAAAGATGAAGACGATGATGATGATGATGATGAGGATGATGATGATGATGATGGTGTGTATGAAAAGGGTTATGGAAGAGAAAAGAAAAGATGAAGACGATGATGATGATGTGTATGAAAAGGGTTATGGAAGAGAAAAGAAAAGATGAAGACGATGATGATGATGATGATGTGTATGAAAAGGGTTATGGAAGAGAAAAGAAAAGAGGAAGACGATGATGATGATGATGATGTGTATGAAAAGGGTTATGGAAGAGAAAAGAAAAGATGAAGACGATGATGATGATGATGAAAATAAAAAAGGGTTATGGAAGAGAAAAGAAAAGATGAAGACGATGATGATGATGATGATGTGTATGAAAAGGGTTATGGAAGAAAAAAAGAAAAGAGGAAGATGATGATGATGATGATGGTGAAAAGAAAAAAGGGTTATGGAAGAGAAAAGAAAAGTGGAAGACGATGATGATGATGATGTGTATGAAAAGGGTTATGGAAGAGAAAAGAAAAGATGAAGACGATGATGATGATGATGATGTGTATGAAAAGGGTTATGGAAGAGAAAAGAAAAGATGAAGACGATGATGATGATGATGATGATGAGGATGATGATGATGATGATGGTGTGTATGAAAAGGGTTATGGAAGAGAAAAGAAAAGATGAAGACGATGATGATGATGTGTATGAAAAGGGTTATGGAAGAGAAAAGAAAAGATGAAGACGATGATGATGATGTGTATGAAAAGGATTATGGAAGAGAAAAGAAAAGATGAAGACGATGATGATGATGATGATGTGTATGAAAAGGGTTATGGAAAAGAAAAGAAAAGATGAAGACGATGATGATGATGATGATGTGTATGAAAAGGGTTATGGAAGAGAAAAGAAAAGATGAAGACGATGATGATGATGATGTGTATGAAAAGGGTTATGGAAGAGAAAAGAAAAGATGATAACAATTAAGATGATGTTGATGAAAAATATGATGGAAGAGGAAAAGAAAAAGAAAAAAAGAAGTAGAAGAAGAAGAAGAAGAAAGATGAAGGTGATAAAAATATTATGGAAGAAGAAAAAAAGAAAGGAGAAGGAGGAGAAAGGTGATGCCGATGAGGATGATGATGATATGTTTGAAAAGGGCTGTGGAAGAGAAAACAAAAAAGTAGAGAAAGGAAGATTATGATTATCATGATGAAAATATTATGGAAGAGGAAAAGAAAGAAACATTGAAGAAGAAGAAGAAGAAGAAGAAGAAGAAGAAGAAGAAGAAGAAGAAGAAGAAGAAGAAGAAGAAGAATATGATGATTATATATGATGATGTACATGAAAAACATTAACTAAGGGGAAAAAAGATGAAAAAATAACGATGATGATGTTGAGCATAAAAACATTATGGAAGAGGAAAAGAAAAAAAAAGTGGAAGAAAAGTTGATTATGTTGATGATTTTCTGTAAAAAAATATAGGAGGAAAGATGATGTTATTGATAATAATGATGTTGATAATGTACCTTAAAAATATGGAAGAGGAAAAGAAAAAAACTTATGATGATGATGATGGTGATGATGATGATGATGCGCTTAAAACTTTATGGAAGAGGAAAAAAGTAAAAGAAGGTGAAGAAAAGATGATGATAATGATGATTATTATAATGATGATGATAATTATATGCATTATATGCATAAAAGCATGCAAGTGGTAATGTAAAAAAAAGAAAAAAAAAGATGATGATGATGCAGATAATTCGCACGAAAAACATTATAGAAGCAAAAGAATAAAGATAAAGCCAAGATAATGATGATAGTGAGAGCCATGTAAAACATTTCGGAAGAGAAAAAGGAAAAGAAGAAAGAATGGTTGATGATGATGATGATGATGATGATGATGATGATGGTTATGTTAGCCACGAAAACAATTATGGAAGGTCAAATGAAAAAGAAAGAAATGGTGATGATGATGATGATGACGACGACGACGATGATGATGATGATGATGATGATGATGATGATGATGATGATGATGAAAATATTATCGAAAGAAAAGGAAAGATAAGAAGAAAACGAAAAGATAATGACGATGTGCATGTAAAACATTATGGAAGAAGAAAAGAAATACACGATCATGAAACAGAAGATAAATATTGCCAAAAAAGTTAATGAAGAAGGCTGCAATGGCGCCGCATGATTAGGGAAAGGCAGATAGATAAGAAGAATAAGAAAAAAAAATGGTAATGAAGAAGAAGGAGGAAGAGGACGAGGAAACAAAACGAAACTATGAAGATGAAAACTAACATACAAACAGAAATTGTATGAAGAAGAAAAAGTGTGAAAAATCCATTATAAGAAAAAGACAATATTTTTAAAAGATGGGGGATTAAATAGAGGTCGATTTGAAATACAATAATCCAATAGATAGTATTGCAGAAACGTTTTGCAGTTAAAGGATAGAAAGAAAGTAAAAAAAGGAGGAAAATATTCAGTTATTTTAAACTCAATCTTGAAATATCTTCAACTTCAATTTCCTTCTTTTAAAACTCTTTAGTTGTATTAATAACTAAAGATAAGTTCACGCTCATAAACTCTGACACTTCTTAATATTACTTCTAAACTTAAACAAAGATGTCAACAAGCGAACATTAGAAGTAACATTTTGTTTGAAATCCCTATTCATATCTATCCATGTCTTCATTTATTCAATTGCACTATGACTTCCTCAGGTGTATAATGGAGAAGAATTTGGTTCCCTTCTCCACTATTTTGAATTCGGAGTTGATCTTCTTGTAGACTTTCTTTAAATCTTGCTGTAAGTTTTTAGAACAATGGGGATGAGAAATTGGTGTTGATTTTATTTAAAAAAAAAAAAAAACGCTGGCATACAGGAGAACATATACCATGTAAGAGTTATGTACTCTTCGTTGTACCTAACGACATTTTTCTGTCTCTTAATACAATGCTTAGCTTTTGGAATACATCGTGGACCATATCAGTATATCTTCGAATATCAGTGTCGCACTTTCCGTCCTCAGAACACTTGCCAGATATTTAATTTCCAGGACTTGTCTTATTTTAATATCTCCAGCTTGTAATTTTTATTTTGGGATTATCCTCTTGCTGATAAGCATGTATTCTGTCTTTTTGTAGTTTATGTTTTTGTTTTTTTCTCGTTTTGTTTGTCTACTTTATGTAGGAGATTTTGTTGTTTCCTTTCTGCGTCTGCAAATAGTGTCTTAAGTGGTCGAGTCTTTCAATCATTTCAAGAAATACCGAACTCCTACTCTCACACTTTCTCATGGCTAGCCACATCAGACTCAGGCTGAAATATTACCACCTTAATCTTCGCCTTTTAGACCGGATAAACTTCCAAAGTGTTTTTTATTCGATTTTTCCATTTCACAGATGTAAGGTCGAAAACCATCCGCTGTTCCATCGATATCTCCATGATAAATTATCAGAGGGGTTCCAGTCATTACTTCCCCCTCACCTAACTTCAGACGTAACAACCAAGGATACGGCATGCTACTTCCACTGAGTCGAAACACACTCATTTCCACCATATATAAAAGGTAAGCAAAAATATACCTCTCATTCACAAAACTTTTTTTTTTTTTGGGGGGAATATGAACTGGCAGTTTATTGACCAGGCATGGGAAATTCTCCGAAAACTACAAACTTAACCCCTTCAAATTCATTTATCCATTTCCTCAATCTTCACATGCAAACACTGTCCCTTACATTCATATCACGGACTTCATTCATCATAACCATTTTAACAATAAAACATTAACTCGAGTGGCAGTCAAGCCTTGTATTGGGTGAATTCAAATATTTTGTTTCCGATCAATTCACCCAAATCAAGACGATAATACGCAAGAAGCTACTGGGAGTGAAAGATAATAAAAATATTTTAAAGGTAACCAGAATCTTAATGGTAAACAGAAAACAAGGGATAAATTTCTACACTTGTTCAAAAGAGTGTGAACCGGAGGAGTGTGAACAGGGCGATAAACTAACCTATCTATTCCTATTGAGGATGATGATTAAATAATGAATAAAATTGCAGGTGGAGACGTTAGAAGTATAGAGTTGAAGTAGACTTTAGAAGGAACCCGAAACCCAATCCTAAACAAACAAGAAAGGATAAACCTTTACTATTCAAAAGACCGGGGCGATGCGTGAACCGGGCAACAGGCCAACATATCTATCTTTATTGAGGAGGAAAATAATTAGTAAACAAAATTGCAGACGGAGATGTTAGAAGTATAGAGTTGAAGGAGACTTTAGATGGAACCAGAAACCCAATTCTAAACAAGGGATAAACCTATACTCATGTTTAAAAAACAGTAGTGTAATAAAAATAGAACCAGTGAATAAACTTATACGAAAGCTTTATTGCACTTTACTCTGACTACTCTTCTACAGACGGATGTTACCCGGTGCTTTTTGTACACTCTAAAACTTAAGGGGAAGTAACTGATGATTTATCAGTACATTATTCCCTCGTATTTTATTCATAAGGATGAAAATCTCTTAGGGGTGCAGGCACTTAACCGATTCTCTGTGAACGCCTGAGTAGTCCTTGTATTGGACTGTTCGGGCTGGATGTTCTCTCGTTTTGAACTTGCCCGTTAGTCTGGGAATGGGTGTATCTCGTCCTTCTTGATGGACGAGGCCTCTCTGAGTCTGAATGAGGATCAACCGGATCTGTTTCTGGATGTATCCATTTCTGAGGCATTGATCGCTCATCCCGATCGTCTAGAGTTGCCATGTCTCGGATGTTAATCCCACTGAAATATCTGATGGTGGCGCAACGGAATCTGTGTCATCATTCTGGGATAATGCGTCGGGAGTGATTTCGGCACGGTGATCTCCCGATTGCTTTTAAGTGTCGAAGAGATCAGATCTGCTCACTAGGGTGGTTTTAGGATCTGGTACATCTCCAGCAAGGCCCAGATCTCTAAGAGAGACAGTAGTTTGCCTTCCATCCGAGTGTCGCACGAGTGCGTATTGTAGGTTTTCTTCTCTTAGTACCATCTCGTCTACCAGGGGGTCATGTTTGGTATAGCGAATGTGGCGTCTCAGTAGAACCATACCTGATTGAGAGAGACACGTGGGAAGCGAAGTCCGAGCCGAAATCCGTCGTTGGAAGGGTAGAAATCATTCGTGTGGGTTGAAATTTGTGGCCGTATATAATATAGAAAACAGGGCTACTGAAAGGAGATTTTCTCAATTATTTATTGAGCATATGTTTGTTGAAGCAGCGAATTGTATTGTTTTCAAAATTAAACCGTTATATCTCGTGTATTGAACGTTATACTGGGGGGGGGTAGTACGGGGTTGTCCGGCCTACCGCCATTCTTCGATCTTGTAAGAATTGACGAAGCTGCTTGGATATGAAGGAAGCTCCTCGGTCTGAATGTATGTAATCCGGTACTCCAAAGACGGCAAATAGGGAACAAATGCATTGGATAATTGTTGTTGTAATAGTCATACATGGACAGAGAAAAGCAAAAGGAAGCTGCGACTATTTGTCTACAATACTTAGCATGTATCAGTTTCGTGATTTAGATGATAACGGGCATTTAATTCTAGATTGTCTTTCAAATGGTTGTGTTGCTTTTATTAGGACCCCAGGCGTGGGTCTGTAAAATTTAGGTTTTATCTCTGCACACGTAAATTTGTAACTTTCCTATCGTCCTCCACTGAATAAGAGAAATTCCTACTCCTTACCATGTGAACTATCCGTGTTAGGCCCAGGTGGCACAGTTCCTTGTATAGTGTCTGGAATTCTTTTGTATTTGGAGTTATACTGCATATTATTGACAGGGTATCTTCTGTCAGATTCTCTTTGCCGGGCCGGTAAGTAATATCGAACGAAAAACAAGATACTTCAATTCTCCACCTTGTTATTTTTTCATTTTTTATTTTCCTGGTAGCCTAAGGGTTGAACATGAAGGAAACAAATTTTTGGTCTGTAAATAATCTGAAGTGACGTCCGATTAAATAGTGTCTACAATTTCTTAACGCCTCAACTATGGCGTAGTCTTCTTTTTCAAAAACCGTATGCAGTCGTTCAGATTGAGAGAGAGTCTTTGAAAAAAAAGTCTACAGGGCGGTCAGCTTGACTTAATGAAGCGACAGTTGTGGAGTCTGATGCATCAGTTGCAGCTACCAGTGGGACAGAAGTGATTACGGATTCTGCAATGTCTTGCTTGAGTTTTTCGAATGCTTCTATTGCTGGGCGAGATAAGGGAAAAACCCTCAATTTTATTAATGGACGTATCTTCTCTAAGAAAATGGCGATCCATTATGAATAGTCGGCGAACATACCCATAGTTCGTCGCAGCGCACTTATCTGGGATTGACAATCTAAGCAAAGGTCTTAATAGCTCTGTTTCTGGCGCCATTGACCCGTTGCTTATTGTATATACCAAAAGATTGATTTTCTGTTGCCCAAACGAGTATTTGTCTTTATTTAGTGTAAGATTATATTTGCTTACGGTGTCCATGAACCGACGAAGTTTTTCCTCGTTAACACATATAGTTACATTATATATATTACAAAAAGCACGTTCCAGTTTTTCATCCAATATGATTTTGTCGATTACTCTTTGAAAACTGGCTACTCCATTGGTTACCCCAAAAGGTATCCACCGAAACTGTGTACAGCCGGCCAACTGCTTCAAATGCATGGTAGGGTCTGTCTTGTGGCTTAATGGCCACTTGATATTAAGCATCTTTAAAATCTAACGTGCTTAAAATACTATATTTAGCTATTTCACATAGCAACGGAAAAACGTCCAGAATAGTGAACCGTTTAATTATCTGAAAGTAATCGATAACCTTCCTTTTTTGTTTTCTGTAATTTTTATTAATACTTGGGCCCCATGTGGTGACATGCCTGGCTCAATTCTTTCTTCTTGAAGCATTCCTTTTTTTTTATTTCGGACCCTATAAATTGTGTGTCGTCATGCGAATAACGTCGGTTCTTAATAGTCATTGGCTTACAGTCCTTTGTCAGGTTTTCCAAAAGTGAGGAGTACGGAATGTTGGCTGCAGTCAGTCCACAAACCTTTAATATAGGTTTATCTACACCGAACGGGTTTTCTATGTTAGAGTGTTGCTGCAAAAAATCGTGGCCCTGTATTCCCTCACAACAAATGTCTTTCATTATCGATAACTTAACAGCTTTATATGAGATGCCGTTATAATGTAGGTCGGTCAAACAATATCCACTTACGTGTGAGGAAAAAGTTGCGTTCACCATTGTTACTT